TTAGAATGTCTACATATTTTTCAAATCACTGGAAATTTTTTATTGTTAGGAACGTCATTAAGTAGTAGATGGCAGATGCATTTGTCTTTAAAATAACCTTAGAACTTATAATAATGATGTGTCTCTAAAGGTTAATATCCAGAGCAACAGTCCCTGAGAAAATTAATAATAAACCTTTATGGGCCACTTATAAAACACATAACATAAAGGAAACAATTCACAAGCCTCAAAACTCTAACATTCTAACAAATCTTAACATTTTGCCACTAAACTAGTAAACCAGCTCTGTCTTATAACATCTAAAATTGTGAGAGGGGTGAGTCTAGTGCCAGTGAAAATGAAAAGTCTTAGTGAATTGGTTGAAGGCAGTCATTTTTAAGAAGTGGAGACCACCCATCTCAGAGCTGAAAACAAAGCAAACAACAGACTTATTCTTGTAAATGACCTGTGAAATATTCTACTTTCTGTACTGCATAGACAGAAGAATCTTATAGCAGGCTAGCAGAATCAACGGTCACACACTTATTATAGGTTTGAAATGAAAATCGTATCTTTCAAGACCAAAAAATATTTTTTTCTAAAATTACCATTGCTTTTATTTGTGTTTACTTTAAAATTCCAAGAAGGACTTGAAATATGAAGGCTTGTAAAAAAAGAAGCATGGCTTCACAAATACACCATTGTGAGAAACTTTAGTTTAAGATGCTATAGTTCCAATGGCTCCATTACCTTTTATGATCCAGGCTGTGATACTGGAAAATTCTGATAATAACAATGATGTGTTTCTACTGTCTGGGAAGACACCATCAATTTTCCTACTGCTAGTATAACACAACAGAATTTTAAATCCCCAAAGGAAGCACATGCTTAGATGGGCCAGGTGGTTGATCAGCTAGAGTATCTTAATTCTTTGACGGTTCCAGTTTTATGTTTAAACTTTTTGTCCATAACAAACTAAGATTCCCTCTCTACATCCTTTATCAGTGAACTTCAGAAGCGAGGGGAAGAAAATATTTTTTTTCCTAACTTACATTTACCATAGGTTAATTTTGAAGATGTAAATATAATTATACATCTCAATGTCACTAAATGGGAACCATGCAACCAGAAAATGAATATGAGTAGTAGACAATAATTTGCAGAAATAATCATCCTCTTCTGTTTCCAACAAGAATTTGTACTATTAGTGTCTCAAAAGTGATTTTTTTCCCAAATGATTTTAACACAGAGGTCTCAGGCGGTAGATATATTTGTTGGATATGGCTTCCAGACTCATTTTGCTTGCCTTACATGGTTTTTAAACAGTTAAATGTCGAACACATTATATTTAAAAAAAACAGATTTTAGGTCTTTTTTTTTCACAAAATCATAGTATATGGTAAGTGACGTTACTCTGAAAATTCTTCATTTTTATAAGTTGATGTAATTACATCTAAAATTGTAATTGGCAAGATGTGATTAAAAGCAGAAGACTAGAGCTAATTCACCCTTTAATGAGGATTTTGGAAGAATGACAATTTTGTTTGTTAGAACAAAAATATATTTATTTTTCAGATGTTTAGTATAGATTTCAATAGATTCTGGACAATACTCTGATGGTTTTTAAGTTTCTTGTAAGTTATTAATCAGTGAAAGATCTCTGACTTTTACGGGCACACACATAAAATACAAAAAAAAGTTTTAAAAACATCTCAACTGTGATTTTTTTAGTGACATAAAAGTAAGAGTCAGGAACTATAACACTGTCAAGGCCTTCCTCTTAGAAATAAATCAGTATTTTAGAGATTTCTTTGAAATCATATTTTATTCAGCTAGCATCACTGAGTCAAGGCTAACCTAACAAGCCATTCATGTAACACCAAGCATGATTCCTACAGATTGCTTTATTCATTCATTCACCCAATAAATAAATAAATATTTATTAGGAAAAAAGTCACTATGTGTCTAGCACTGTGCTGCATGCTCAATAAGAAACAGAAATTCCCAACCCATGACCCATGAGGTGAATTTGGTTCTAAGATCTGTTTTTTAACCAATTTTTATAGTTACTTTTAACTGATTTAAATTATGGAACGAAACCTTATGATCAGGATATTTTATATCAAATCTATGAATCTGGTTTGTCTGAAAAATTAGAATTATTGACAACACAATCCCTAATCTCCTCACAACAAGTGGGTAGAGCCGAGAATCCTACTTTAGATGGAGGAAGAACTTTTCCATTTGCCTTTGTTAATAATTAATGTTACCTAACTGACACTTTTTTTTGTGCCCTTGCTTCATTAAAAAAAAAAAAAAAGACCTAGTTTACCCTCAAGAAACTTAAAGATGATTAGTTTTGACTCTGATTCTCATATTTTCTTCAATATAGTTTTGATGCTTAACTATGTTGTTTTAATGTATTTTTATAGGGATTCACTCCTTACAACCAGCTTCTCATCTTAACGTTGTCAACTCTGTGATATTGTTATAACCTATTATCTCAAATTGTCTCAGGTACATTAGTTACATAGGTCAGAATTTGCCATAAGTGATAAGTCACTAACAAGAAACACTTTTGTTAATTATACTTCATAAATTACTGCATTTCCTCTGACTTAAAAACAGCACATTGTGTAATTCTGCCGCCATTAACATATTTCTTTCATGGGCCTGATTAGCAATAAAGCAATTTCACATACAGGCAAATAACTCTAATTCTGAAAACAGTTAGCTTTAAATTCATATAATTTTACCTGTAAGTAATCTTCAGTAGGTTTCCTCTGTCAGCCCTTGTTTTCTCCAGTGTACAATAGAATCAATAAGTTTTTTAATATGTAAGGTTGTTGGTGTTTTAAATGACATAATGGATGAGCAAAACGGCCTCAGAATGTTCTATCACTTCATGGTCTCTATGATAATCCTCTATTATTTTCATAGCCTACCTCGGACTGCCTCTTGTCCCTTGTGATGCGGAGGTGAAGTCTCCATTAACACATTCTGCATACTCCTTCAAAAACATTACTCATTTTTGCTTTATATATTTGAAATTATAATATGCAACTAATAAAATTATAGTCACAGATATCAATTTTATCATTTTATATCACAAAATTGGGATTTTACAATAGCATTTGCTTTCTTAATGACCTTGAATTGACAATTTATCACTTTATATCTTTTTTGATAGAAACCCATCAATAATTTAAACATCATTTTAGTTCCTTCACCTTATACACTGTTAAAACAAGTTAAATAGCATAACTTAACTTTACTTGACTACGTTACTAGAAAAGGTCAGTAAAAATATAAGTGAGACAGTATATAAAATATGAACATCTGTTGCTACTTTTATATTTTCTTTGAATCAAAATTTTTCTTGTTTGTGTTCTGGCGTAAACAATGAATGATACTGATAATTTTTATTTTTCAGTCAGCAGAATTGGTTTATAAACCTTACATTCTGAGAAACATTTCAGTAATAGAATCAGCATATGAATGACACAAAGGTGTATTGTAAAATGAATCAAATTTTACTTATTTTTTCCGTAGAAAGTTTATAGTCATATATATATATATATATTTATATATATATATATATATATATTCTACCAGAGACAGCTAAATGTCTCCCCATAAAACACAGAGCTATCAAGGTAGAAAATTCATTTGAAACAAACCATGTTTTGAGAGATGAAAGCAAAAACATTAAATTATATCTTGTCTATCACCTTGATACAACTTTATTCTTAATATATAAAAATTATCTAGCATTTAGTGACATTCACACATAAAAATGGTATCACTTTCTCTCAGCTTGCTATTCTAAGAATTTGCATTCTGTCTTGCTTGTTATTCTAAGCCTTTTCTTCACTCCATCAACTAATAGTACCATATGTAGTATATCATCATATTTCATCTGATTTAAATCATAAAAAGTTTGATGCATTCCTGCTAAACTCTTCTTGTAATAATCAGCTTTACAGACATTGTAAAGTCTGTTTACAAAAATTATTAATCCATCTAATTTTTTTTTACCATTTTAAAAATCATTTTACATTGTTATTTTTTAGAATGTAAAAGCTGTTTTGCAGCATGGTCTAATTTTTATTGTATGCATTTGTAGACATATAAATGCCAAAAAATTATATACCAAAATATTTAAAGCAGTTATATTTATTGGTGGTATTCTTAGCTAAGTAACTCACATAATATTAAGGCTACTTAATAATTAATTTCTAGCAAAATAAAATGTATAAATAATATATCTTATCCTAAAATATAAGGAAATTTACAAAATAATTGGCAGACTAAGGAAAGCTAAAACAATGTATTTGAGAATTTTCTAATGTATGGCTAAGTTTTTGTTATGTAAGACTTCTTTAGAAGTTGAAAGAGTTTTTAAGATTGTATGTATTTCAAGACCCTCAATTCTGTAAATGAGAAAAATTAGGCACAGGGGGATAGGATAATTTTATGAGGCATAATTTCTTTGCATAATTGACAAGAAGTGTAGATAGTTTTAAAATTATAATAATCAGGTTGAATGTACTTTCTATGTTTATTTGCTATATATATCCAATGTTGTTTTTATCTACCTTACTAGCCATAACTGTTGTTTTTATTTTTACTCAGTAAAGAGAAAAGGCTTTGAATTCAATCTATCATTCCAAAAAAGTTATGGGATTTATAAAATAGCACATGAAGATTACTATGATGATGATGAAAATTCCATATTCTATCACAACCTGATGAACTATGAGTGTGAAAATACAAAAGACCCTCAGAAAGACGACCATAACATCTTCAATGCTATAAAAGTAGAAATCAGCACCACGCCTTCTCTGGACAGCTCCACACAAAGAGGCATCAACAAATGCACAAATACTGATATTACAGAAGTTAAACAGGACTCCGACAACAAAAAGGGTGTGTTTCCTGACAAAACAGGAGGTGATATTAACTATGAAGAAACTACCTTTTTTGAAGGGCCAGAAAGAAGACTGTCTCATGAAGAGAGTCAGAAACCAGATCTTTCAGACTGGGAGTGGTGTAGGAGTAAATCCGAAAGAACCCCTCGTCAGGTACAGTAAAGGTTGTTCTTCCTGTTAAATTAAAAGTGATACTAAACAAGATAGTCATGAAAAATGCTTTCAGTTGCTTATTTCATTCAATCAAGTCAAACATTAACTTCACTTGCCTCAACTAATTGTCTATTCAAGGACTTTTTAATTATTTTAATCCGGTATATACATTTTCTTTTAAAATTTATACATTTTATAATAGGAAGAGTTAAACAGCCTCCTTAAGAAGGGTAGGGCACTCTTTTTTAACCTCAAGCGAACTGCATAAATTCAGACTAGATTCCTCAGAACTCATGGTTCAAATTAATTAAATTTGTAGGTTTTATTTTTCCCTTCTCCATTCCAAAGGTATCTCATAAGTCTCCAAGGGAAGTTTTATTTTTTAAGTAAATGCAAATATTTATATGACTAGCAGTGAGAAGTCTTGTCCTGTTGAAAGTATATTAGGCTGCTTGTCTATCAGTTTTACTAGAACTAATCCCTCCAGTATCCAACAGAAAAAAATTATTCCAGAATACATTCTGGTGAGCATTTGCAAGTCCCTATGAATGTACCATTAAATATGGAAGAATGGTTTTGTAATATTTTATAAAGCTAAAAGAATTTGCACTTGAATTTCTCATTTTTTCCTAGATTTCAGTATTCCTAAAATGGTGAGGGATCCTTCTTATTTATTGAAATGGAAGTGTGATATTGATATGAGATTTTTCTTTCCCCAAGCTCACATATGTGATAATTAAGTTGCCCTTGCTTTCCACACTATTGATTTCCTAGGAAAAAGGAGTCTTTTTTCTACATGAGTTAATGGAAATCAGAATCTACATGCACCTAATCTCTAGAATCAAAAGCATGATTTTAGAAACACACTGCTAGGAATAATGTATTCATTGATCAAAAGTATGATCACATAACACCAACTATAAATACAAGCAATAATTTGAGATTTTATTCATTCTCATTAAGTAAAACAAATAGTATCCTGATATCATTGTTTAAAAAATGAGTTGAATAGTAAAATAAGGTGTATGAAATACAAGAAGAGACAATTATGCACATTGTTGAGAGATTATGAATCAAAGGAAAATATCACTAAATATTTCCCATAAATTAAATAATACAGTAATAAGCAGAGGCCAAAGAACACAATTGTCCATATGTTTAGAAAAATGTGTTTCCCTAGCTAAGAGGAGAATTCTGACAATCTCATCTCCATTTTTTTCCTGGATAAACCTCTTAGTTTTCTTGCACTTACAAATTGTTAAGTGATATTCATGATGAAGCGTGTGTGTGTGTGTGTGTGTGTGTGGCCATCCCAGTAACTTGTAACTACCTTCTGTGCTAGTCAACTATATCATACTCGTGATTACCCCTTATGGATTACAAATATCCTGAATCTTACTCATATTTTTATTGTATTCTTTTATCACAAATGTATGTACTTCTAACATACTATATTGTTTAGTTTTGCTAATTTTGAGCCTTCTAAAGATGGTATCATGCTGTATATAGTCTTCTGGGCCCTGCTTTTATTCATTTAACATTACTAAGTACGTCAATTTTCTTCTTTATTTCATCAAAACAGTGGGACTTATTACCTAATATACCACAACTTAATGCCCTCATTTAAAAATCTTGGCTATAGTTTGGAAAGTAGAGTCAAATAACTATAACTAGAAATGTGAAAGAATCAGACACTGCTTGCACATAAGTACATTGTCTTGGGAGAATGATGAACCACAACTTACCCACAATATTCTTTAAATCAAAAATCAAAATGATTTATGTAAAGTACAAAACTTTGATTAATTCAGATATCTTTCAATTATAAATACAGACTTGTTAAATATAGATATTTAAACAACTATGATTATCAAGTTGTTCAGGAAACTTCTCTGAAATGGTCGCTACAAAAAATAATGATTAGTGATAAGATGGATAATAGAATATTCTGGAAAGGTAAAACTTCATATTTCCAGAGATGAATTAAATTTAATAAAATATTATCATAAACTTTAAAACAATGGAAAGAAATCCTTAAACCACAGACTGACAGTTTTAGTATTCCCTTAATAAAAGTACCTGCGGTCTTTAAGTTTAGCCTTGAATACAAATACAAATTTTTAAGTTAAAAAAGTTTTACAAAATTCTATGAAACATTTTAAATCACAAAATTTAAAATGTTGACACTGTAATTTAAAATGTTAGCAAAAACTCATTTAAGACTGAAAACCTTATGAGAACTTTTCCTAAGACCAAAGACAGCTTTTAATTCTTGCCCTATTCCTCAGCAGCAAATGATATGTGGAAGTAGATGATGACTTAGAAAGTATTTTCATTTTTATCTTTTTCTTCCCAGTGCCTTTTCTTCTCTCAAAGCAATTTTAACATATGTATCTTATATTGAGACGCATTAAACTGTGTGGTTGACACTGTAGTTACTCTATAAAAACACTACTTCTTTTGATTGTTTTATGGTTGTACTTTCAAACATTTAGGCTCAATTTATCAGTTTGTGTCTAATAGTACTGCATTTGATAGTATGTGTTCTTTGGATTTTTTTAAAAAAGTAGATTTGATTTTGAATATATTTAGTGAGCTCTCTTTTATTTGTACATTATGCTTTTTTAAATTAGAGTTTATGTTAACAAATTCTCAGTATATTTTCTTGGAAGTCCTGGTAGGAGTGAGAATATCATCACATCAAGGTTAAGGTGTAGAAATTATAGTAACAGAATGGCTTCAGTAGATTTAAATGTGATCCAATAAAATTTACAAGAATTGAAGGTATTCATAAGACTGAAATTCAATTTTAACCTAGCCACACAACTGCTTCTTTTTGAGCCCCTAGTAAGTAGAAATCTAAGCAGTTTACCATTTTAAACGTTCAGAAAGAATAGTCAGAAATGTCAGAGTTTTTCTGTTAGAAAGTCTTAATGTGATAGCCACTGGTATGACTCTTTCTGAAATGAAATGATGATGTTATAGAACCCCAAATTTTGTTATCTACGAATAAAGAAAATTTGGCTTATAAAATAATTGACTGGCTTGTGGGTGATCACTCTATTTTCTCTTTTAATACTAAGTTCATAAAATTACTCTGGATTACATTTTCCTTCCTTTTAATGTTTTGTTTTAGAATTCCAGAAACTGACTCATTTATTTCTGTGAATGAAAAACATAGATATGCTGTAACTTTTAATCTATTTACAATCCTATCATTATAGGATTTGTAAGGTGTATGTTCCTCCATTTTGCCAGTAGGATGTTTTAAAAACAGATTCTGGGCCGGGCGCGGTGGCTCAAGCCTGTAATCCCAGCACTTTGGGAGGCCAAGATGGGTGGATCATGAGGTCAAGAGATCGAGACCATCCTGACCAACACGGTGAAACCCCATCTCTACTAAAAATACAAAAATTAGCCAGGCGTGGTGGCGTGAGCCTGTAATCCCAGTTATTCAGGAGGCTGAGGCAGGAGAATTGCCTGAACCCAGGAGGCAGAGGTTGTAGTGAGCCGAGATTGTGCCACTGCACTCCAGCCTGGCGCCTGGTGACAGAGTGAGACTCTGTCTCAAAAAAAAACAAAAACAAAAACAAAAAAAACAGATTCTGAAATATTCCTTCTCAAATGAGAGACAAAGCAGGGGGTGGGGGTGGAAGGGAATTGTGTTTAAATTTGCTACATAACCACTTAGTTTAAGGGACAAATAAAGCCAACAAGAACTAATTTTAAAGTCGCCTGAGAATCAAGGAAATTTAATTTTCATTTTAAGGAAAATGTTTTAACTGTCTAAAAATAGTTTTCTAAAGTTATGTTGTATCAGCTGTTAACAGAGTTTAGTGGCAGCACTGGTTTCTATAGTATTTTAAAAATATTATTATTTAAGTAATTCTCATAGGAAACTACAGAAACCAAAAGCCAGCTAGACTATTTTGAGTTCTTTAGGTAACAGCTCTCAAATTTTAATGTACATAAAGTCAAATGGGTATCTTATTAAAATGTAGATTTTGATTGATTAGTTATGAGATAAGATCCACGATTCTGCATTCCTAAGCGTCCAAATGATTTCTGTGCAAAACTAAGGTCCCACCTTAGACCTATAGAATCAAAATCCTTCAGTTGGCTAATATGCACATTTACAATTTTAAAGCACTGCTTTAGATTCTAATTGCTAGAGAATGGGCATGAGTTTAAAGAGCAGGGCAAAATTAATTCTTTCCATTGAATATATGACCCATAAAGTAAAAGGCTAGAAGAAAATAACCAATATGCATATCTCTTTTCTCTTCCTAAAAACTGTGCATCTTTTCTTTTCACTTAAAAAAAATAAACTATTCAAAAATTAGGCACATATATTGCTGTTTTCTGTGATATTATTAGCTTAAAATGCAGATGCTTAAACTTGTCTGTGTAATTTCTGACATTTTAACTGAAAAGACCATAGTAGAAAAAATCCACTTAAAACCTTCTATTTATAGCCTTAACCCGGTCATCTTAACAAAAAATGGTTATCTGGAATGTACTTTATTTTTAACTTCATCCATTTTGAAGTGGTTAGTTTATCACCCGCTGTTCAAAAACTTGAGAATTTGCTATACTGCCTAGCTTTTTAAAAAGTATTAATTGTTTTTATGATTATTAACTAACATATAATTATTGTAGAAAATCCAGATATTGCCGATAAGCAAAGTAAAAACTCACTTCCACCTACCCAGACTTAGCCACTGTTTATATTTTGTTGTATAAAATGTCAGGCTCTTTTCCATACATATATTTTTACTTTTGACAAAAAAAAAAAAAAATGGTCCCATTGCATGTACTACACGTGTTCTGCTTTTCACCACTTAACAGCCTAACTTTAATATCAATTTAATTGTTCCAGCCCTTTGTGTCAATAGTTTAGAGCGGCTATTTAAAGTGTGGCTGAAAACTCATTCATGAATATAAATTTGTTCTCAAGTATATAAAGTCTTCGAAGTTGAACCTAAGGGAATTTTATCCTAAACTACTTCAGATATTTCATA